TATGGCCTCTTGTGTTATGATATATATACTGTATATATGTAAACAAGATATCACCTCGCCGAGGGATTCGGTCGCGCTGTGACCCTTGACCCCCAAATTAAGTTCATACAGAAATGAATACATTTTCTCTTCAACATGTTCTAAAGATTCATCTACGAACGAATAATTCAAAAGTAAATAATAATTGATACTCATTGCTTTCAGTTATGTTATATAAAGGAAAACATTTACAAATTAAAATAGTTTGCTTTTTCGCATTATTTTACATGCAATTCGCATTAGTTTACCTTGCATTAATTTATTGTTCAATAAAATCCCTGTGTGAAGAGGGCTATAAATTGATGTCTTATAAGACATTTTAAACTAACTTCATGCAGTATCAATTTCCTTTTTGTTTAAATTTTTAAATAACTGATCTTACTTTATCATGTAAAGATTATAGAGCTAGAAGTGTTTCACATTAGATGAAAAAAAAAAGTTCAATTTCTGTTTGCTATCTGTCTTCATCAGTATTGTTCTTTTCAATAGGTCGTTGCATTGAGGTCCATGTAAAGAAACTTGTGACACCGCACCCACTGAGATGCATTGATAGGAAGCACGTCGAAAGTTTGAAGGAATCCTTCAAAGTGAGACCAGAAAACAGCGTTATTTTTTTGGCATTGTTAAGGAGGAAAATTTCGAAATAAAGGACTTGAACAAGATTGGGTCACTTCGAATTGAAACTATTGGTGGAAACCAGTCACGAATTGCGCTCCAGGAACTGTTTGATGAAGGGCTGCTAAAGGAACCGACGGTACATGTGCAGTTGTACAAAAATTTGACGGACAATGAGGCACTAAAGCTTGGCTTTGACCATAATGTGTCTCATGAACTGGCAAAACCAACATCAGCAGAAGAACTATTATTTCTTTTTAGAAGAGAGTTACTTATAAAAAATAACTGAAGAAGAAATTTCTTCACCCCAAGACTCTAAATTGAAGATGTGGAAGGAGACCTGCTCTTCAATCCTTGGCATATCAAAGACAAAGCTACACAATGTATATATCATTGCATGTTGTCTTTATTCTTATCATCAACAGATGGCTGGAAACACATTGAAGATTTTGTGGCGTTCTGGAATTCAGGTTAACTTAAAAAAGTACCAAAAGGGGACATCAAGAAGACACATTTTACAAAAATGAGTGGAACTGCAGAGAAAGTTAGAAATTCCTTGTTTGTCAAGTTGATGGAGGGCGAAATTGAATGGGTTGAGTTTAACCAGAGCTGTGCATCCAAAAAGTAAGCATGACCGATGAAGATGAAAACGTGTGTTAAAACTGAATGTACATTAATAAGTCCAAATACGAAGTTAATGCTTAATACATTGAAGGAAAACATCTGATTAGATATACTTGCATACAATAAATAACAGTATATTACAATACTTCGTTTGGATAAAATAGGTAATTTAAAAATACACTTAACGAATTTGTTTATTAATGTAGTGTCAATTTAAATTCCTTTTTTTTACTTAACAGTTAACTGCACTATACTTAACTGCAACTGAATTAAACAAGATAAACATTATTCACTAATAAGATCAATTTTGCGAATGTTGCTTTGCATTAAAAAGATTGGTATGAACTCTGTAATTGTTATATGTATAATTATTTTTTTTAACATGTATTCAATTTTTGTTAATTTTATTAATAGAGGGTTCTTAAAAATGATAACAACTAAATGCACAAGCAATCCATATTCTGTGAAATCACTAACTTTCGTGGGGGTTAATTTTCGTTGTTTTCGTGGTATGAAGAGACCCACGAAATTATGTCCACCACGAAATGTAAATTTTCATAAACACAACAGTAGTATAGGCGTCTGTCCACCCCTCAAATATACATAATTAATGACTATTAATTTGCATAATTAATGAATTAATTAAGGTGAATTATCGGAAAATCGATTAATGGTACTCCTATTCATTGTTATTTATTTGAATAATTAATGAAGTTAATTAAAGGTAATTATCGGACAGGTGTTAATTAGAACAGCTGGTAAATGGATATTTTTTTTAAATGTAAATAATTGATGAAGATGATGAGTGGTAATAATAAGAATTCCTATACATAGAGGGACGAAATGAAACTGGCTGACCGATCCAATCGATAAAAAAGAGTGGGTAATATAACACTATACGATAATTGATTTTTTTTTTAAATTAATGATAATTAAAGATTTCTTTTTCCGAAGTATTGGGATTGTCAAACTCACACAAGAGTAAGAAAGAAGATCTGATAAATACGACTTGAGATTTTTTTTTCTTTCGGTTTTTGTTGATTTGTTTTCCTTTTGAAAAGAAAAGACTCCAGTTTTCGAGAACAAATTCTCTTTGTCTTTTCTTTCATTTTTTTTAAAAGAAAAAATATCCTTGAATGATCGCCACTAGGTTTTAAATATTTCCTCTTGTACTTATACACTTTTGTCCATGTTTTCAGCTCCTTTTAAGGATCATTATATATGAATATGACATAAAACAGATTTCCTATTTTATTTTTTTTATTTATATGAAAAGAACGTTACATTTATACCACACACACAAATTGAATTCTATTAACTTAGATAAAACTATACGTCGGAAAAGGTTCACTAAAAATTACAAACAGACATACAGATACGCAAACACAAAATGAGCTAGGAATTTTTGTCATTTTATATTATTTCAAAATCACATTTTTTTCGCACGAAGAAATGTCAAAGAAGGTTATATAAAATTACATCAATAAAAGTTGATTTTAAAAAAATTTAAACAGACATACAAACACACAAACACAAATTACTCATGACAAAAAAAGTTGTCTTAGAAAATGTTCCAGGCGAGACACAGTATAAACGAAACTTTCCAATTCATCCTACCAGTTCATGTATTCGTCCGGATTACAGATGCTGCAACGAAACATTCCCATCTGATTTTGGTGGTCATCACGATCGATGCACAATTCCACTTCTTCCAATTCAGGTAAATGTTTTTCAATGTCTGGTAACATATCTCGAAAGAGTGTATACTCGGTAGGTCTAAGACAGAGACCTTTTTTTGTAGGTACAATGTCTATATCTTTACTGGGTTTCCAATGTTGACGTATATCCACACATGGATTGTTTTCCCTTACGTGTACATAAACGTTGTAACCCAGATGCCAACTCTGTGTTTCGTTCTTCTGAAGTGCTTCTTGAATGTTCTCTATCTTGAATAAGAGATTCTTAATTGAATCATCTTTAAACTGATACCCTTTTTCGTTGGTATTTCACGTCCGTTGCATAGTTCGTATTGTCTAAGATCCACTCTGGGTTCGCCCTTCCACTCTGATACCTTAACGTATCGTCCATTTACCAGAGGATGAACTGAACGAGTAGACATTGTATTTCTTTCTTCTAGAGTAAGAGTTGAACTGATGACAAGTGATGCTCTGTCGTTTGATTTTATCATAGGAAGAAATTGACGTCATGGAAAATTATTGTGGTTGGATCAAATTGAAAAATAAACATGATGTGATTGGTGGAAAACTCAAAACAAAGTTTTAATGAATTATTAATTATAGAAAATATAGACATAGCCTACCAGATGTTACCTATTAGAAATTTTAATAATTAATGCTCCAATCTTACAAAAGTGTTCTTGTTGAGTAATAAAGAAAAGCTGGTTTGTCCTGTGTCCTCCTGTTTTTCCAAATCTATTGAAGAAGGTATGGATTCTTAAATCCTTCTGTAGTATCAGGTTCCTCGTAATAAGGAGTCTCATCCACATCGAAATTTATTCTGTAATATAATATATCATGAAAGTATTCACTCTCAGCCTGTTTCCACGTCTCTATCGAGATACTTTCGGTCTTAGCAAGTTTAAGAACTTCCTCTATGCTCATAGCTTTACCTTTTCTCATTTCTTGGTCGAAAAAAATGTCTTGGGCCATAATCCAAAATCTAGTCATTTTCTTGTCGTCCAGTTTACTTTCCAAGTTCAGACGCACAACGCAATCTTTCTCGTGAACCAAATGATTTCTTAAGTTATATTGTTTTTGACAAAAACGACAGGATGTTTCATCTGAATGATGAAGAATAAAGCCATCGATAAGTTTTTTTACACAGGCACCTCGTTGTAGAAATCGAAAAGTTTTCATTTCATAACGATCTGTTGGGTCTGGAAAGTCTCCCATGATGGTTTTGTTTAACACTGTTATATCCTAAAGAGAGTGATGCTTGTACCCACTACTAATTTCAATTTAAAGACGATATACTCACATGACCTTCAAAAACACGCCCACAATTGAACATCTCGATTCAAACAGACGATGATTGAAATCATCCCAACTATAACAAGCTCCATCAACTTGATTTTGATTGGTTATCATCAGCATTGTAAAAAAAAACAAGAAGAAAGATAAGATATTTTTGAGACATGAAATAAAATAAACAATTCTATTTTTTTTTTACCATTTAAACCTCACCAAGACAAAATAGATTAGTTCGTCATTTTATTCTGGGAGTCCCGTGCAAGAAGATGTCATCTTTAAACAATAGTCTCAGTTTCCAGGAAACAGACGCCAGTCCCAACATCACATGGAATGTCAATGTTACGAAATCATTCACTTGTTTGCCACCATCATCTTGGGAAATTAATCCTTTGTCTACACTGATGTTTTCTATCTTTATATTTATATCGTTAACTCTACAATATCTCAATAAGAGGTATCTCAAGCGTCGAGAGGTACGAGAGCCTACCATTTCTTTAGAAGAGATAGAAGCGGACGCCATACCAATGTCGGTCTGTACATTACAGACTCCTTGTGAGAGGAGTCATGAATCATTTCTTACCTAACTAAAAAAAAACGATGATTATATTTTATTTCTTTTTCTTTTGATTATCCCAATTATAATTAAGAATGAAAGTTTCTTTTTTCATGATTATTAAATAAGATACTATTTGTTTTTTTCTTCATATTACTCCTGACTCTCATTGTAGCAAGATGTCATCTCTAGACGACCGATCGAATCTTCTAGGATCGGATTTTGATCTTTATAATATCTGGAATGTTAACGATACGGATTTCTTTGAATGTACACCACCATCTTGGGAAATGGATTCTAATGCTAATTTCAGTTGGAATGTTTCGAATTCCATGAAAAAAAATCCACTGAAAGGGGAAAAGACCGAACGGTTCAGATCCGAATGTTCAACTCGATCTGTAAAAGACATAACACCTACATTTTTATCACCGACAGAAGGTGGGGAATGTAATCACCCAGAATATGTTCATTTTAAGGATCGACTTGAAACTTTCTTTGACTGGCCAAAGTTTTTAAAAGGACCGAGCAAAGAGGACTTGTCACGAGCAGGTTTCATTTACACTCGAATCGGAGATAAAGTCACCTGTTTTTCCTGTGGAATAATTTTGAAGAACTGGGATCCTTTACACGATGCTTACAAGGAACATCTTCGGTGGTCAAAAAATTGTATCTATGCCAAGATGGTGGGAGATGAAAAAGAACTGCAGTGAGACTTTGTCGCTTTCAGTTTCATTCTGTTGTGACTCTTATAAATATGATTTGTCTGCGTATTTTTTTTTCTTTATTACATGTAACATGACAAAGTTGAAATACAAATAAAGTCGACGAATCTTAATAACAGTTGTTTTTCATTGTTTGAGAGATTTATTATGTTCGTATGTTACAAAAGGGGGTGAAAAAAAACAAACAAACAAAGCGAGACATTTCGAGTATAAAAAGAATGAACAGGATAATAATTGATCAGAATCGATTTGACACTGGTTATGACTAAACGATGGAAGAATACTTAAAAGGAATATGGTACGATCCAAGTCACCCAGGATCTTTTGCCGGTCCTTCCAAGTTGTATGAAATAGTTAAAAGAGAGGGAAAATTTAAAATTGGTTTACATCGAATCAAGAAATTTCTACAAAACCAAGACGCTTATTCATTGCAAAAAAGAGTAAGACGAAGAGGATTTAAAAGAAGACGAGTGATAGTACAGGGTATAGACTACCAATGGGAAGCTGACTTGGCCGACGTACAAAATCTATCAAAGCACAACGACGGAATCAAATATCTGTTGGTAGTAGTGGACGTATTTTCTCGATTTTTATGGGTGAGAACATTGAAAGATAAGAAAGCCAAAACAGTCATTGACGCTTTTAAAGACATATTGGCAGGTTCACGTCGTCCCAAAGCCCTACGCACCGACAAGGGTACGGAATTCTATAACGGCTACCTGAAACAGTATTTAAAAGAGAAAAGCATCAAGATATTTTATGCATTGAACGAGACCAAGGCTAATTTTGCCGAGCGGTACATACAGACTTTAAAAAAGAGGTTGTACAGATATTTTACTTTCAAACAAAGACATGAGTATATGAACGTTCTACAAGACGTGGTCACGTCTATAAATAATACACCGAATCGTTCCTTGAACGGAAGAACTCCTGCCTCTGTCAATAAAGAAAATGAAGCCGAAGTGAGACTGGACGCTTACCTGGCCAGACAAAACACGCAGCACAAGAGAACCAAGATCAAGAAGTCTTCTAAACGAAAGCGTACCCCCTATACTTTTAAGGTGGGTGATCAAGTACGTATTACTCATCTGAGACGCCAGTTTCAACGCGATTACGATCAGACCTACACCGAAGAAATCTTTGTCGTCGATCAACGTTTCGTCTCACAAGGTATTCCCATTTACAAGATAAAGGATATGATGGACGAACCCATTAAAGGTAGTTTTTATGCGAGTGAACTACAGAAAGTGTCAAAGAACGAACAGACCACTTGGAGAATCGAAAAGATTCTTAAAAAGCGAAAAATTCGCGGAAAATCGGAAGTGTTAATCCGATGGTTGGGATGGCCAAAGAAATTTGACAGTTGGATTCCAGAGACTGACGTAAAAGACACTTGAATGACAAAGTTCTTTCATTAACGAGAGAGATGTCGCTGAGGATGGTTCTCAAATCTTCGGACAGTAAGTCCATCCAACCCGATAATAAACCTTCGAATTTTAGAGTTCGTCTTCCAAGATCTTTACCTCTGACGGGGGAGTGGTCAGTAGAGATGACGGAATTTTGCAACGACGATATTGGCAATGAATCAAATAAGGAAATATTTGTCTATTGTTCGATTTGTGACGATACGATAGTCGGTGAGCGCCAATTACCACTTCTAAGACGCATTTATGTAGAGGATACGAAAAATATTATTTTTCTTCGACCTTATCGAGTGCCTTTGCGCATCAATGATCTTACAGATCTCCATGTCTATATAAAGGATAAAAACGATCGCGACGCTTCATTTTTAGTTGGAGAATCAATGTTGACGCTTGTGTTTCGACGAATGTGAAAATAATGTCTGGACCGACTTATATTTCTAATCCGGCTGTGTGGGAGCAATTTCAGCACACCGATAAAGGTGAAAACTTCATCCCTTTAATTCGACGAAAAACGCAGAGGGGTGGTGGAATACTAAACAGAAGGGCGTACATGATCCCCGTCCGACCTCCCTCTTTGTCACCAAAACAAGAAGTTCAAGAGGTGTCGCCAGTAGCGGCCGAACAAGAGAGGGCCCTGTCTGAATTGAAAGAAACCATGCGTAACGACGAACCTCACATGCCAGTCAAGACGGGTATAAATAGGAAAAAGAAACAGAAATCTGCCAGACGCTCGACAACCTCAAAACGAAAAGGACGCTTTAAGAAAAAAAAGAAGCAAGGTCGAGAAAGGATCAAGAAGTTAAAAAAGAAACTAAGGAGTTCCAAAAAGAAAACATTGAAAAAAAAGTTCAAGGCTTCTAACAAGAAAAAAGCAAAACAAAAGGGGACACCGATCTTTCAGGAATCATGGCTTACTTAAGTGAACTGAATACGACAATGGCTGAACCTTCCGAACTGGCTCTCTTTTCTGATCCTCCCAATCAAGTGGCGGTTCACAAAATTTATTTCCAGGAAACACGTCCCATTTCGTCTTTTGATTCGGAATTCGCGCCCCTGGAATTTTCCGTTCCTGGAAATGGTGGAGAATACCTAGATCTTAGAAAGAGTCGACTTTACCTCAAAGCCAAAATCACTAAGGCGGATGGTACGGCTCTGGATACTGCGGAAAAGACGGGTATCGTCAATTTACCTCTTCAAGCTCTGTTCTCTCAAATCGATGTCTACATGAATGGAAAATGCGTCTCTCACAATGCCAACAATTACCCATGGAAAGCTTACCTTAAAGTACTACTGTCTACTGGAATAGAAACATCGAAATCTCAGATGCAGACTCAGTTATTCTGGCCCGACGGAGAAGGTTTGGGGGACCCGGATGCTGCAGGAGGGACTAACATGTCACTCAGAAAGAGATACGTACATACACAACTGTCTAGAACTTTCGACCTGGAAGGTCCCCTTTACGTGGATTGTTTCTATCTGGATAAGTATCTCATCAATGGAGTGGATGTTCAACTCAGGTTATTCAGATCAAAGAATGAATTCGTATTGATAAGTAAAGAAGCTTCTCCGGCCTACAAAGTCACAATATTAGATGCCATATTTAAAGCATGTAAAGTGAAAGTAGACAGTGCCATTCAAGTGAATCATGCCAATGCCATACTCAAGTCACCGGCAAGGTATAATTACCTGAAGACTGGCGTCAAGATGACAACCATTTCAGATAAAACCAGTGAGTTCTTCTGGGACGACGTCTGGAACGGAAAAAGACCCTCTAAAGTTTTTGTGACCTTCGTCAGACAGTCGGCCGTTAACGGCAGTTACGGGGACAACCCCTTCAACTTTGAACACTTTGATTTATCTGAAATTGTTCTGTATGTCAACGGAGAACTTACACCCGTTCGTCCTATGAAGTTAGACTTTGGTGATAATAGAAATTTTGTTACTCCTCTTTGTAACCTCTATCAATCCTCTGAAAGATGGTTAAAAGACGAAAGTCTTATCATCGATCGAGAGAGATTTGCAGAAGGTTATGCCATATACGCCTTTGACCTCGTCCCCACCGACCTCGGAGACGGGTATATAAACCTGGTACATCAAGGCAACGTCGGAGTTTATGCACGCTTTTCAAAGCCCACTACAGTGACTATTAGTGCCATTGCCTACTGTGAATGTCCCGGACTCCTCTTGATCGATCATACCAGAGAGATTAGACAGCTGTAAAAAAAAATTGAACGCTGAAAACCATTTAATTGTCTAATAATGGACACTCGACAGATGCTCTATATCTATATCTGCAACACCGACCCCATGGAAGAAAAAGGTTCTCATTGGATTGCATTTTGGTTTAAAAACGCAACTGAATGTGAATTTTATGACAGTTTTGGAAAATTACCTGGAGATTATGACATTCGTCTGAGAGAATTTATTGATAAAAATACCTTTGTTTGTCTATACAATAACGTTCAGGTTCAGTCGGATTGGTCCTCTACCTGTGGTTTTCATGTTTTATTTTATCTTTATCGTCGTATGCAAGGGTTTTCCATGTTAAATAGTCTTCAAATGTTAAATGAAAATTCTCCTGATGATTTTGTACGTGATTATGTTTTTGCGAAAATGAAGGGAAAAAATTTTCTTGTAAAAAATATGAAATGAATAGTGTAGTAATGAAAGAAATCTTTGATTCTGGACACCGACGTTTCCGGAAAAAGGAACCGGAGACCTGTGTCTCCGGGGATCTTAGTCTCCGGGGACCTTAGTCTCCGGAGAATTGGATACCGGAAACCTACGTCTCCGGGGACCAAGGTCTCCGGAGGACATGGTTCCCGCGCGCACGCCCCCCCCCCCTCCTCGGGGGAGGATTCATATGTAAGAATTTTGTTTCATATTTTTGTAAAAAAAAAAATTGAAAATATATGTGTTGTGATTATTGATGTTGTTAAATGTAGATGATAGATATGTATGTGTTTTATGAATTAAATTACGTTTTAAAAATAAAAATCAAATTGTCATGCGTGATGATTCCTCATAAATTCAATCTGTTTGGTTCAAAAATCATCATTTCATCACCTGACGTCGATTGGATAAGAATGAAGTTTAAGACTCCGACCTCATTTGCAGTCATAGGTGGAACCATGTCTGGAAAGACACATTTGGTATGGAAAATATTGAAAAATGGTTCTGAAATGTTTGATATTCCACCTAAAAAAATAATGTATTGTTACATGGAAGATCAAGAAATCGTGGAAGACATGAAATCTTCCTTACCCGACTTCGACACCTATAAAGGTCTACCTAGCAAAGAGGAAGTCAAAGAGTGGTCTGAGGAGTGTCCTCACACGGCCATCATTCTAGACGACATGATTCATTTAGTGACCAAGAGTTCAGATGCCCTTCATCTCTTTCAGACAATGGTGTCACATTCCAAATTGACGGTATTTTTACTGTCTCAGAACCTGTACCCCCCTGGGGTATATGCCAAGAGCATTTTACTAAATTGTCAGCATGTTATTTTATTTAAAAACGTGAGGGATAATCGACTGATTATTACCTTTGGAAGTCAAGTATTTACGGGTCGTTCAAAGTTTTGGATGGACGCAAAAGCCGTGGACCGTCCTTACGGTTATATTTTGATAGATTTGACCAATCATTGTCCAGAGGAGAGACGAGTTCGAACCAATATCTTACCAGAGGAAAGATAACTGTAGTTTATCGACCGAAATAAATACTTGAGGCGATTGGGAGTTTCCGTCATTTACGTCATCATGTCACATAGAATCAGACGTCAAAAGGCTTTTCTTCAATTTTTATTTACTGCCGAAAAAACGCAAAGGAAAAAGATCATCGAGTTGGCCACCGAAGAGCAAATGAATGCCTTCAGGGAAATAACTCTTAATCTCTACATGGGACAGATTGTCATTTCCGGTTATTATCGAACAAAACTGTTCATTCACAAGAATATCATACAGTCTCTCTGTGATCGTGGATTGGAGAACAACCATATCAAAGGGTTACTACAGAAAAACGATCAAGTGATACCTTTGATTCTCAAGCCATACTTTAAAGAGGATGGCGGAGGAATATCTCCTCGTGAAAAAGACGACTTACGAACGGATGAAGGAGAAACAGAATGAAGAAGAGAACAAAATGGCTCGTGATCAAGGCGTTAATACCGAAGAGACACTCTCCGTGATACCTAAGGAAAAGGAAAAAAATAACGAGACTCAACAAACTGGATCTGGTTTAATTTACGTGGGAAGTAGAAAGCGGAAGGCATCATCACCACCGGGCATGCGTACATCCAATAAGAAGAAAGTCGCATGGTTGACATTTTAACCAAACGGAAAAATAGATTAGTTTCAATCCTATATATATTTTTTTTTTGGTAACAAACTTGATGCTCTTTGATAAGTGAAATAAAAAATGAGAAAAAAATTCAGACTACAACTGTAACATCATATATTTATTCAAGATGTTATTTAAAAAAAAAAAATACATGTATTATGACTGTGTATATATATAAAATCAATATCTAAAAATGATAGTTGTTGTCTTTTAATACCCATACGGGAGGGTAGTTAAGTTTGGTTGCACAACACGCTTTGTGTATACGACGGAATAATGTTTAATTTCCTCTTGGGAATATAGCTCACTGTGGATTTTTTCACGACAGATCTTACTTGGATTTATTGTCTGGTATTGATTGGACATCGGATCGTCGCGATTAAACATGGCGTCTTTCATGGAGTTCAAATTCAGGATCGTTGAGTTAGTATAATTCAAAGAAAATCCCTTAACCTTACACACTTCTTGTCCTAAAAATGTTTTATAAGCGTAATTTTTGGGCCCATTACAAACAAACTCTGTTATCCAGTCACCCTCACTCAACTCGTTTGTGAGTTCGCCTAGATAGTCACCAATGGGAGGTTCCACTTCACCATCTTTCTGTGTGTAGATGACAGAGTCCGTGTCCCAGTACAATACTCGGGTCTGTAACAAGTCCAATAAGTCATATAATTTTAGACGTGCCCAGCAGGTGGTAAACGAAGCTAAAAAGACGTTAGTGTGACCCGGGTTACACATTTCCTCTGATATTCGTTTGGTGGACAGCATGAGATGATTCTCGTCTACTATATTGAAATCTTGTATTTCGATGGTTGGGTTGACCATTTGCTCAAAAAGAATGTGAGCTTGGCTGTCATGAAGAATCTGGGTCTTAGCGAGGTTCATTCGCTGTCCGAATTTACCCCAAAAGCTATTTAAAAGGAGTTTAGCCAGACTTCTAAGACCTTGGTTATATTAAATGTTGTTTAGGTCTAGACGAATTCCTTCTTTCTGTTCGTACAGAAATATATAACGATTGAGATCCTCATACGTTTTGACCCAATCGGGTCGTCCGCTGGCTTCTTGTTTTATCTTTAAAAACATGTTGATGTAATTGGTAAAGAGGCCACCTGTCTTTGCGACTAGATCATACTTTGACGTTTCGTCCCAGTGGTATATCTCGTAAATCTTGAGAATTTTATATCCCTTTTCGATTGCCTTGAGAAGTTCCGGTGTACAGTAAGTACCTGTTATTGCTCTCTCTGTATCTGAACACGTACAGGTTTCTTTTTGTTGACGTTCTACGCATGCTCTACACAGAGGAAATGTCAGTTTACCTTGGGTGCAGTAACCAAGTACCGGGTGAAACAGTCCACGGGGGGGTAATACTCTAACCTTGGCAATGCCGAAGTAAGACGAAATTTCATTAAAATCGCGAGTAATGATCTCAGGATGTCCTATCGGATACCGTGCTGTCTTATTTACAAATGGATAAAGTGAAGTGAAATCAACGTACTTGATTTTAGTACCCATCAGAGCTCGTTTGTACAGAACACAACCGTTTGTTCCCCCCCCCCCCATTAGACTGTCGCGGGGGTCTAGACGGTCTACAATATCGAGTCCATTGATAAATTCTCTGACGTCATTTTCCTCTCTTATCATTTTATCGAATTCGTGTTCCCAAATACTGACAACTTTCATCCCTAAAGCTTTCAATTCGTTCTCTTTTTCACGCGTCATTGCTAACAATTCCGAAGCTGTTTGATCTGAATTAGGTAGGAGAATGTCGCTGCCATTTTTATAACAAACGGGACATCCGTGAAAAAGACATCCGTTGAATTCGTATGCAATACCAACGGGATATTCTGAAGTCGCGGGTAGGTATCCATCTAATCGATATCGCGTACCCGGAACTTTATACTCTCCGCGTCCGTTCAGTGCATGACGAATGTCTAAAATCTTCCCTTCGGCGCGCGCACGATGCATAAGAAGTTCAAGCCATGTAATCGATTTTTTACTAAATGGGATTCTGTTTTGATATCCTTTCGGTGGAGGGTGGGCTAGAGGAGTACTGACAAATTTTTCCTCGAGGATTTCAACATTAAGTTTTTTAAATTCACTCCATGGTAACCATCGTCCTTCGTAGCAGACAGTCATTTTCCCGTTCAGTTTTTTTGCATCCAACCAAATTTCTTGTTTGCACTGTTTGATAAGGTATTTCCAATTTTCCTCGAGAAATTTTTTTTGTATATATTCATACAGAGAGAAGCTATGGTACACGAGTCAAAGGCATCCACCACACATCCTCCGTCTCTTCCGGTGACCTCGATGAGAAGATTTATAAACTTCAGACAGGCTCGTCGCAAAATGTCGACGTCGCTCCGACAGTACTTGGTAATCTCGCAGTCAAAATCAAAAACCTCTCCCTTGACGACTTTTTCTTCATACCACTCATAAAATTTCTTTCGTGCCTCTACCGACATACATTCGGGTGCGTAAATGGCGGGTGGCGGGTAAGGTCCCACGTAATTTAAATTTTTTTTGGATGTGAAGAAATGCGGAAAGTAACCTTTGACTAACGATTCTAGTTGAAATGCTTTAGGTAGCTTTGACAGGGCCATAGGTAAAAAATTGAACGAATCAATTACTCTGATCTGTAATGTACTGACATTGAACATTTGAACTTTGCTGCCCCTATAGATGACGAACGACGGACGCATGGTCTGTGATAGCAGGTACTGTAACAGAAAATGACCATCATAAGACAGATTGTGGAACAAAACTGTATACCCTCTGTGTTTCTCGTGAAATATCCATGATCCGAGATCATACAAGTTTTTGAACACACGCTCACGAAAACCACACTTCCCGTCACAGGGAGAATTGACAAAGCGTTTTGT